AATTCGTGACTTTACTCGGTATCAAGAATACTCAAATAACAAATGCTAAAGGCAAAGAAGCGTACATCATACAAGTACTTTATACAAAGACATTAAAAAAAATGTACAGAGGAAGCACTGTTGACATTTGACTTGAGACAATTTTTTTTTTATAACATAAGGTGGCAAACGAGCAAGCGGCCACCTGAATCCGCCAAAATGGCGAAGCGACCGCTGCCCATAGACATCCGCGATCGCAGATGCGTTACCTACCCTTATCCGACGGAGGAGGAGACGCACATAAAGAGAATAATGCCCCTTCCTATGCCTCTCCTCCACCATCAAATCCACTTCCTCTTTCCATTCTCTCCTTATAAGAAAAGGGTGATAAAGAGAAATTTTGATTATATTCTACTGTTACAAGTTAATCTATAATAATGGCGATAAAAGTTCCGTTTGTAGATATCTTTATTCAAATCAAACATTTTTATACCTAAAGGAATAGCGTATTTAAATCCAGTAGAATACAAAATCAATAACTACTAATAAAGAGGAGAGATTTGTACTTGTTTATGTAACAAATTAACTCATTATCATTGAGTGACAAAGCCTATATTACTTAATAAGATTATCTTAATACCGCGCGGACAACTTCGCGAGCAACAGCTAGTATTAAAAACACAGAATTAGACGCGACCATGCAAATGATTAACATATTACGTTGTTGCATTGTTGTCCACCATTTAAATATTCAAATTAACCATACCAACCAACCACAGACAACACAAACCAAAATTTAAAGAACAATACACTAATTGACACATCAACATTGTGTTATTTATAACCTCTTAATCTGCGAGATTCTTTGTTAGAGCCCTTACAATGTTATTCTTAGTATTCTAATTATAACTACATATTTACTTTAAAATTAGCTAAATAAAGGTCCAGTCATCGATTTACACGGTACCGACCATATCTTAAACGAATCTATTCGCTTTAAATGCATTTGTCAGTTTAGTGAGCACTAACTGTAGACAGCATTCATTTACTGCGCATAAATACATACATATGTACTCTGGCGGAATGTATGTACAAAATAAATGCATATGGCATAGATTTTAACTCACATTAAATCACACTAAATCAACAATTTGTAGCGATATAAGGTACTTCATTTTTATAGCCAACTGTCATATATAGGTAAAACTATTACTCATGAAAAACTAAACAAGGACTCATGAGAATGTCGAATTATTATTCCCGTAGATTAAAATGTTCGCCTTGACTCATCTTCCTTATTCTTAAAGCGAGCGGACACCTTTGACTAAACAAACGCATAACTATTGTGCGATTGTGGATTGTTTCGCAGTTCAAACTGTCTAGTTGCACAAAAATCGAGAAGTATGTACTCCTCCATATATGATAAGCTTATAGGAATCAAAGCGAGACTAAAGAATTCTGAGTATAGTCAAAGGTGTCATCATCATCATCATCACCAGCTCACTATACGTCCCCACCGAGGGGCTCGGAACCTACCCTAAACTTAGGGTGACTAGGCCTTAGTCAACCACGTTGGCCTAATGCGGGTTGGTTGACTTCACACATATCTTCGAATTTCATCGCTGATATGTGCAGGTTGCATCACGATGTTTTCCTTCACCGTAAGAACGTCGGGTAAATTATGTACGTATGAAAATTCGAAAAATCGAAAATCAAATTGGTACATGGCGGGATTCGAACCCAAGACCTGTAGATTACAAGTCAAGTGTTTAAACCACTGAGCCACCGACGCTCTTAAAGTCAAAGGTGTGCGCGGACTTAATCTGACAATTGAAAAA